TGACTGATTGACATTCTAAATTGGAATTTAAAATATATTTTTTTAAGCGTAAATTTCAAAGGTTGACATATGATATGTCATTCTATTTAGAGTGCCATTTTCTATCAAATAGAGTAAAAAAATACCGAGGGTGCCATATAAAAATCAAAAGTAGTTGTAGTCATAGTTGTAGTCATGGTTGTAGTCATTTCGGGTGAAACAGAAAGTGACCGAAACTAATTGAATACGTCAATCATTCCTTCATACCAAATCTCGTTTTTTTATCTGAAAAAATAAAAAAGTTATAGGGGTGAGCGAAACACTGGCACTTTTGTGAGGCACACGGTATAATGCAGACTTTATCTGTGACACTGTATGCTTTTAATGAATTAAAGTTAAAAAATACATAAATTATTCTCTATGAAATACACCATATCTCCTATAAAGCGTCAGAACAAGTGCAAAATACATAATGTATGCGTATAGTCGTACACAAACTCAAAGCGTGAGTAAATAAACATATTTTGAAATTTAATCTGTGGTTCAACGAACCGCGCTTTAATAAGGTTTACATTTAGCTGCCCTTTATGTAATAATAGCTGTAAAAATATACATTCTCGTTAAACAATTAATTAATCTCATTTATCTTGTGTTTTGATTTAAGTTGCTCGGAGATTGTTGCAGTATTAATTAACAATTTTTACAGGGTGGTCCATTAATAGCGCATTGCAAAAAAATAAACACGATAAATGACTAATGAATGGTTGATTTAGCTGATATTTATTATCATTAAAAAACATTTTCAGGTGTAGGTATTTGATTTTCTTTCAGAATTTTTATTTTGTTTGAAATTTGCTAAAAATATATTTGTACAAAGTATACGTCAGACAAAACAAAATAAATACATCAGAAGAATACAATACATTTCTGAAAAATAAAACAAATAAATATTATTAATTTGACATTATTGAGGCACGTTTTATTTAATTAAACCCCTTTCTTATTTTAGTCAAATTATTAATTTGTTTTCTTAATTCTCAGTGTAGGTTTTGTATATGTACCTTGAAGATTATAATAATATACACGTTTGAATATAAGACATTAATAACAAGATACCTATTTAAGTATTTTTAGATTAAAAGAAAAACCGTCTTTCTTTTAACTATACTCAAATATACAGGGTGGTCCGAATTGTATTCCGGAAACTTCGGCAGCATATTCTGCAGATGAAAACAAATGAAAAATATATAAATTGTTGTCCTAAAATGCTTCGTTTCGGAGATACAGGGTGTAGAACTTTCATTCTTATTTCAGTTTTTTCCAAATGATTTCAGAACTAACGTCAAGATTTGGATAAAAATTGGTATCTGGGTGTTTTTTGACATCATAACTTTGGATTTCGATGTCAATATGGCTCCTACTCGTAGGGGGCACCACCGTAAATCTATACCATATTACCATAGAAACGCGTTTTGATTTCTAGGACATCAAAAAAGGGAAAAATTCAACTTCTAGAAAAAAATTCAACCATATTTTCATTTTTTTTAATCTTCTTTAAAACGGTATTGAAATTTGGAAAAGTATAAATGGGATTAACCATTTTAGAACAAGCAAAAATTTTTATGAAGAATGCATTTTTCTCAAAATGTCAATAATAAAAAAAATTTCCTTTTGTAAAGACAATCCGGGGACATACTGCAAAAGAAACATTTTTTTTATCTACGCTGTGGCTATGTCATGTAACATGTCTCGTGGTAAACATCACTACAAGCAACCGCTTTGAAGATATTTGTCAGTACGTGTCATTATTGACAAAACATAAACATGTTAACATAACTATCTTTTAGGTAAAAATAGGGACATTTTTTACTTAAAAAATGACGGAAATGTACTGTCCGACTATATACAGGTACGGACGAAAAGTTATTACTCTTCAAAACCGCTAAAAAGAATGTAGGTGGCGCCCCCTACAAGTAGGACTCATCTGACATCGAAATCGAATTCTCATGTCAAAAAATACGCAGACACCAATTTTCATCCAAATATTGGCCTTAGCTCAGAAATTATTTGGAAAATATCGAAATAAAAATGAAAAAAAAACTTTACATATACAGTATCTCCGAAACAGAGCATTTTAGGACATATATTTATACGATAACTTATTACTTATTTTTATCTGCAGAAAGTATTTCCGGAATACAATTCGGACTACCCTGTACAAGAAAATATAGTTTTAAAATCAGTATAGTATTGATGTTTTAAAGTTGAGTCTTAGAAGATTCTTCTATATTCAACAACGATGGTGAATACGTATCACAAATCGCATCAGATATGATGTTTGTATAAGTAATATTATATTAGCCAGTAGAAAAAAAAATCTAAAAATACTGAACATACTGTATGGACTATTTCTTCTTCCATTTTTTTACTTATAATAGAGATATATGATATTAATGTATACTAGATATGTTTAACAATCGCTAACACGTGTTACACTTGCTTGAATCTTCTTTTTATCATCCAGAATCACGTGAATTAGGAACTGATAGAAGTTCAATCCTATTTTCAGCGGCAGCTTTTTTGCAACGTGATTTCTATCAAAGCTGCGTAATTACCAATAAGAGCAAATATAACTTGATTTTATATAGCCTGATCTATAAAACTATTGAATATACATACACTTGAATATAATGAGGAAACATGTAATACTATTTCTTATATTTTTCAATATAAATCCAAGAAAATTACATTATTAAATAATAATAGTATATTTCACGTCACACATGTAAAAAATGTAAAAATATTACTTAATAACCTATTTAAAAAAATAAAAATATTTAACTCAATTAGTGTCCATACAATTCAGTAAAATCAGTTTTGTAATATACTTGAGACACATGGGAAACATACGTGGCAAATTGACCACTCCTTACAAGTATTTGTTAATAGGTACTACAGTCATTTGGGAACTTTTACCTAAAAAGTTTCTTTTTTAATATTTTTCCATATTGGAAAAATGGCGAAAAAAAGCTGTTTTTACGATAAAAACTTTATAGCTCAATTCAAAACATCACAATTGGTGAAAAAATTAGTGGCTTCAATTACACTTTATACTTTTTAGTTTACGATCATTCACAATGTTTAAAAAACACAATTAAAATTAATAGAATATCCTAACAACAGCTTGCGTTAATCAGTTGTATCCATTAGAGAAAGCCTAATATTTAACTAATAAAACATTCAACTTTTGATTTCTAACCACAATTTCTCTTGACGGAAGATAATCAAAGGCCAAAATGACATTTCTCGCAAATTTTGAAGTATAATTAGGAAAAGTTAAGCTTCATTCAGAACCTCCCAATTAGTGGAATAAATTAGTGGTTTCAATTACACTTTATACTTTTTAGTTTACGATCATTCACAATGTCCAAAAAACCCAATTAAAATTAATAAAATATCGTAGCAACAGTTTGCTGTAGTCTGTTGTATCCATAGAGAAAGCATAATATTTAGCTTATAAAACAATAAACTTTTGATTTCTAACCAAAATGTTTTCTTGACGGGTGATAATCAAAGGCCAAAATGACATTCCTCGCAAATTTTGAAGTATAATCAGTGGAAAAGTCAAAAGTTTGTTAACTTTTTCCAATAATTGAAAATTACTATCACTAATTATGACTGAGTTCTGAATCCTTACATTAAAACTAGGTGAACAAACTTCTACGCCTAATTGAAACTACTAATTTATTCCACTGATTTCGAGGTTCTGAATGAAGCTTTAAAAGTTTGATAATTTTTTCTACTAATTGAAAATGTCTACCACTAATTTTGACATTCTGAATGCCTTACATTGAAATTAAAGTAAACTTCTACGCTAAGTGAAACCACTAATTTATTCCACTAATTGCGAGGTTCTGAATGAAGATTATATACCTAGATGAAACTAGAGAAAATTTCTTACAATTTATGTTATATCTATTTTTTTCGATAAATAAAGTTTTGGTATACGAGCGGCGCAAAGTGTGTTTCAACACGCGTTTTGATCAAAAAACTCATTTCCACACCAGCATGAGGTAGAATAAGCGGCGCTTTTCTTTTATCGTTGTATCCCTCAGGAGGCTGTTTACTATTCCAAAATTTAGCTCATTCGGCTTTACTTTGCTGCTTTTGATGGACCAGGTGTCGCAAGTTCTTTGTCTTTAGTACAGATCGAATCCTAACAGACCAAAATTTGTTCCACATCGTCCTCAATCGGATTATCAGTTGTATCGCAATTCTCTACTTTCTCGATTTCATCAAACATTTACTCGAAAGTAGTCTCTGTTTCTTCCTCTTTATCATGTGACAGAGATGGCAAGTTATCACAAATACACTTACATCACATACAAATACAATTCGTGCATAACGGAGCACCTCAACCCTTCAGCCTTTCTGCATATCATGCTATACAAGGTCAACTAAAATTTAGGTAGACGTTATCGAAATTTAAAATTTTCTTTTCATTTTCACAAAATGTGAAATATGTCAAGATCCTTAGATTTTAGGTATATGCTTTTTTAATAAAACTCACCTTTATTTTTTTCCTAGAATCCGAAAATCAATTAATATATAGTGTGTTCCATTAGAAAAAACACAACTTTGATGTGTAACTTTTTTTGGGGACACCCTGTATAATTCTATATTCTTTTATAAAATGCTTTCAGTTAACCTACATATACTGCCAAAATTTCATTTCGATATAAACTACCGTTCTCCTTGGAGCTTCTGCGGCGTATGAGAGGCGCCACCCTGTATGCGTTAATGTCAGTTTGAGTATTCAGTAACTACCTATTTACTGAGTATGCGTTACTCGTTACTTTCTATATACTTTCATAATAGTGAACGGGAGTCGTTACTAATCGGTAATGTATCCGATAAGATGTCAGTCAAACAATCTTGGGTGTTTTAAACCAGCATCTTTTCTATAATTTAGTCTCTCCATGCTATTTCATTTTATTCTAATAAATTCTTCTTTTTTGCAGCACAAATCGAAATCATACCGTGCAAGGTATGCGGCGACAAAAGCAGCGGCGTCCATTACGGCGTCATCACCTGCGAGGGGTGCAAGGGATTTTTTCGACGGTCGCAGAGTTCCGTGGTCAATTATCAATGTCCGAGGAACAAGAACTGCGTCGTGGACAGGGTGAACAGGAACAGGTGCCAGTACTGCCGGTTACAGAAATGTCTGCGGTTAGGCATGAGTCGAGATGGTGAGTAATTTATTATAATTTCCTTAAATTAACCTCATCTTCAATTTTTCATTAAAAAAGTGGAATTTGTCTATTTTGAAGTCTATATTATGGTTTTAAATATTGAAATTAATTTTTAACATTAATATCATAATCCTGCAATTTGTAACATCACTACTTGTTTAGAAATTGAGTTTTAAAATAATACAAACACAATCTCATATTGTACTATTTCATCTATTTGAAGACATTACTAATTTAACATACTTTCAGCATACCTTATTAGTTGTTTGATTACAGTATGTCCCCGGATGCGATTTTGTATAATATACACGACAACAGTGCAGACTCCGCCCAAGAGTATTTTAAGGAGCGCTATTGGTTGCTGGTAATCATACAGCGTTTTAGTGTTCATAGTGATAATCTACATGACTACAGTGCAGACTGCAGAAATGAACGCGCATACATGATTGCCAGTGTTCGCAGCGAAATATATACACGGCAGTAGATTCCTATAACTTTTTTAAAACAATAAGTTAGGAAATACAAATTTCATTCATCAGTTTTTATTACCAAAAAGTAGTTTTAAAAATCTTAATATTACACAAACTAGTGCTGTTTAGCGTGCGATACATTTTCATTGATGTTTTGTATTAACTTGTGACTTCTCTTCTTGGTTGTTTCTCCAATTCTTGGTTGTTTCTCCTTCAATTTTTGGAGGTCTTCCGCCCTGAATCCGTTTTCTGCCACATTGAAAATCAGACCGAACTTTTCTTCTTAGCATGATGTAGGTTGCAGACCAATCATTTTTCTTTTTCTGTTTTCTTTAATCTTTGTAATAATTTTTTTTTCTAACTGGCCAGTTTGCAATTCCCACAATTCTTTCAAGTTCAGTCTCCATTTAATTTACTGCATCCATCGCCTCATCGTCCTTTTCATCTTAAATAAACAAAAATTACATTTTAAAATATTCTACACTAAAAATGCAACGACTAAAGACTCATACATATGTATAGGAATTTCGTTTATATTTTGCACCCTATCTAGAGACTTTATTTTAGGAGTTAGGAGTATAGAACATTAAATACAAAAGTTGCAGGATTTTTTCCATATTATCTTTTAAATATATCAAAATAAACAAATGCGCATCGCAAAGTTAAATAATTAATGTATTTAGAATTTTATGCAAAAAATCCAACAATATACAGGGTATTCCATTTAAAAGAACATAACTTTGTTTATTTTTTTCCGCGTATTGTTGCGGTGCGCATTTGTTTATTTTAATTTATTTAAAAATAATATGGAAAAAATCCTGCAACTTTTATATTTAAAGTTTATTTCTTACTCCTAAAATAAACTAAAGTAAAAAAAATAAACTAAAATAAAGTCTTTAGATAGAGCGCAAACAATAAAAGAAAACCCTGTACGTACATACCTCCTTCTAAGCGGTGCTTAAAACTTGAAATTTGTGTTTTCGCAGACATTCTTTGTAGGTTGAATTTCTAAGTTGTTATTACTGTGTGCGGTGTCATCGTTTACAATTTCATTTTCATTTTGAACCGTGTCCATATCCGTATAAAACTAATTTAGCTGTTCTCCAGTTGCCCCCCCCCCTATCTTGGATCTTCTTAATATTTTCCATATTACACCACGGAGTAGGTAAACTTCACAAGTAAATTAAATACTTACGGAGGAAGTAAACAAAAGAGAAATGGAAGTTGGAAATGGTGTGTTCATACACGCTGCAGAATGGCAAACTGTTACCGTGTATACTATTTTGCGTGGTACTATAGCGGTGTATATTTTACAATTCTTGATACGGCGAGTGATCAGCACTGTAACCGCGTATATTATTCCTGGGAATACTCTATCAGTGTGTAATTTACGCTAACCAATAGGATTCAAGAAAAATCCAGTTAACACTGTATTCCCCATGTATATGTAACGGTTAAGGTTCGATGCCCAGTTAATGTCGACATTACCCGGTTAATCTCGAGAATAACACACAACAAAACAACCAAAAACATAACCTAACCCAAACATTAACATGTTAATGTCGACATTAACCGGACACCGGACTTTAACCGTAACATATATATTACTTTCTTGTTATTGACACTTTCTTATTATTGACATTTTGAGAAAACTGCATTCTTCATAACATTTTTTGCCTGTTCTAAAATGGTTAATCCCGTTTATATCTTTCGAAATTTTCATACCGTTTTAGAGAAAATTAAAAAAAACATGAAAATGTAGTTTAATTTTTTCTGTGGTAATATCACAGAATATATTATCGTTTTCATTCTTTGATAAATTATTTTTGACAGAATTTTAATTAAAGAGTTTTAAAATGTTAAAGAAGCACAAAATTTCTTTAGTTCAATGCTTTAGAAAGGGTGATAATAGTTATCGGAAAATGGATACTTTAACAACATCAAAAAATATGGCGTTGGTCAAAATTAATTATTATAATTATCAAAAAATAGAATCGAAATTGTATTACTATAGAAACGCCTTTTAATTTTTAGGATTTTAGAAAAAATTCGACTACATTTTCAATTTTTTTCTAAAATAGTATGAAAATTTGGAAATGTATAAATGGAATTAACCATTTTAGAACAAGAAATAATGTTTATGAGGAATGCATTTTCTTCAAAATGTCAATGACAAAAAGGTTTTCTTCTTGTAAAGACAAAATCCGGGGACATACCGTATATTCTCAGAAATAAAAATAACCAAAGGTATTTCAAATTTCAGATTGACTTTATAAAACGTGCCTTCGCCATCTTGTCAAGAACAGTAATTTTAAAATATGCTATTGGTATGCTATGGCTACAATTCGATATTCAGTCATCGTCACTGATGAGTTTCAGTTAAATTGTTTTTGATTTGTTTGTACAATTTAACTATTTAATGTTATGTTAAATTTAGTGTGATTGTTAAAAAATCTCGGAGTATTTTTATATTCAGTTTTGTAATAATTTTTGTTAAATTTGATATAAATAAATATTCTGATAAAATTATTGGATATTCAATGTTTTAGAAGTGTATTATAGATAGCACATGTCTTTTGTGATTTTAATAATATTATATCTTATAAATATATCTTTTCTTTTTACTAATTTTATGTAAACTTGATAAAAAATATCTAAAAGTGCTGTCTAACTAATTATATGTCCAGATACATGTTAGTTGTGCTCATAGAGAGAGAACATTAGTAGTATTTAAAATCTTTTTCGTTACCTCCATTGTTTTTAATAGTTTCCACCAAAATATATCAAAAAATTAAATGGCTGTCAAAATAGTGGTTAGTAACACTCAAAAATACAGGGTATCTCAATATTCCGTGGACATAGAACTACTACGTATTTGTGGAATGAAAATAAGTTCATTGGACATAATTTGCCTCTGTAGCAAAGTGCTTCGTTTGTCCGCTAGAGAGCATCAAACTTTAAAAAAATACACATTTCTTCAAATGTTTTAAGAACCGTTATTCCGATTTGAATGAGATTTTGAGTGTCTATGTTTTGTCTAAGTGCTTTAACATTTGGCGTTGAAAAAAATCAATAAAAAATACGGGAAGGGTGAAAAATACCTCCACCCCTACGTACATTTTAGTATAAATATTTTCCAACACCATCGACAACAGATTTTCTTTTCGTAAAATGGTCCCTCTGCTATATACTACATTTTTGTCTCTTGTAAAAAAACGCCATATCGCATAGTTTTTGTGAAAAAAATTTTCGAAGAATTTATTTTTCCAAGAAGACTTACAGAGAGTTCCATTATTTCGTGGACAGAGAATAACTACGTATTTTTTTTTTGATCAAAATAAGTTAATAGCAAATAATTTACCTTTATACAAAAGTGCTTGGTTTGTCCGTTAGAGGGCATCAATCAAAGATAAACCCCAACGTTAATTAATTTTAAAATTATTTTTTAAGCTTTTTACGAAGCTTATCGTCAGATATAATTTGTGATACTAACATAAAATTCCATATTTTCGCCAACTAGATTATTATAACATAATAGATTTTATGCGCCTCCATAACTTAATGTGAAAAACATTTTTTGGAAGTCAGCTTTGGAAACATATTTTTTTCTAAAAAAGTATGCACGGTGGTGATTTTTTACGAGAGACAAAAAATGTAGTAAATACGAGACAAAATAGTGGTTAGTAACACTCAAAAATACAGGGTATCTCAATATTCCTCTGTAGCAAAGTGCTTCGTTTGTCCGCTAGAGAGCATCAAACTTTAAAAAAATACACATTTCTTAAATTCAATACTAGACGGACCAAAGAAGAAAATCGGCTGTCGGTGGAGTTAAAAAATATTTATACTAAAATTTAGGGGTAGGGGTGGGGGTAGCTTTCAACCTTTCCGTACTTTTTCTTGAATTTTGTGAGAGTCAGATGTTAGAGCACTTAGCAACACATAGACACCGAAAATCTCATTCAAATAGGAATAACGGTTCTTAAAATATCTGAAAAAATGTGATTATTTTTTTAATGTTTGATGCCCTCTAGCGAACAAACGAAGCACTTTTGTATAGAGGTAAATTGTGTCCAATGAACTTATTGTGATTCCAAAAATACGTAATAGTTTCATGGCCACGGAATATTCGAACACCCTGTACATCCTCTGTATTCCATCACTGGATCTAACAGACATTTCGTATTGCTCAATAATTGAGATTCTTATAGATTCAATTATATCCAAAAGGGATTCGACTTCAAGAAAATTAATAATAATTACCTCCTATTTACAAAGCGACTCATTAAATTAAATAACATCGTATAAATCCGGCATTTCCTCCGTTTACGGTATAGTGCAGAAACTTTAAAATAAATTATCGTCCGCATAAGGCCATTTCCATTCGTACTGTTATAACAGCCAGCGAGCGAAGACTTTATACGGTACCACCAGCACGTAATACATAGAGTTAAACCGCACAATATACGGTATCGTACAGTTAACAGTGACGTTATGTGGGTCAATCCTGCGGCGGTGCAGTCTTTC